GTTCATGAGTTAGAGCTGTGATTTTCAATCTTTTTCATCACATGGCACATATAATTACTGAAATTCTGCTCCACATCAAAAAATATAAATATTTTTTGCCATGCTGACCAAAAAGAAAAAAGAAAAAGAAAAGTATAGTTTTGTTTCATTCACACCGGACAGCTATTGTAATTTTTTATTTGACAATCTGAGAGGAAAGAGGGCAGAGCCCGTGACTAGACAAACAGTCAGGCTTTGCTGGTTTAAACATTCCCGACATGCAGCACACCAGTTGGAAATCACTGAGTCAGAGCTAAGTGTCTGCAGGCTTACAACTCAGGCACTGGAACTGGACTTTGTGTCAGGGGTCAGCCTGGGACGAGGCGTGTGCCCGGTCAGAGACCAAGCCAGCGCCCAGTTGGGCAGAGGGCCGGGACTTCGCCATGGCGAGGCGCGGTGGTCAGGACTCAGTGACTGGGCTACGTCCACGGTTTCAAGTCAGAGTTCAAAGTCAGGGAATGAGGCTCAGTCAGTGTCCAGGCCGGGTGTCCTCGGTCTCCAGGCGGGACTGAGCTCGTGGCGTGGCTCGGGATTCCCCCAGGAGCACCTTTCTGCCTAAAGTTCCGCCTGGGGCAGACGAGCAGCACCTGCCCCAAACCTGCCCCTTCACCCCCTGCCCTCCCCGCGGCTCCCTGAGGACCCGGCCTGGGCTGTGTTCCCTACGAGGCCTGACACTCCTCCCTCTGCCCCCTCGGGGCGCCTTGCGCAAGGTTTCTGATGCAACTGGCTGCTGACTGCACACCGCGACACCCCTCCTCCTCCCTGCCCGACCAGCAGCCTCTTCTTAGACAGGGAAGGGCTGGGCTTTGGCCTGGATTGAATATACATAATTCCTCTCCTCCCCTAGCCTCCTAGGCTTCAGGACCCCCGGAGGCCGGCTGGCGGGTGGGAAGGGATCAGATGACAGCAATTCATCAGCAAAGCCAGTAATGGGAGGGGGTGGCTCAGCGGCTCCCCCCCCCCCCCTGCTGGAAGGCAACCAGAGAAGCAGGACCCCTGGAAGTTTGGAGAGCCCCACCCCTGACCCACAGCGCAGTACCTGTGCGGTGGAGGCCAGGCCGGGACCAGTGGCTGCCCAAGGTCACCCCCTTTCAGGGCAAGGTCAGAACCAGACACCAACTTTTCTCCCTTGTGCAGTTTCTAGCTGAGGTTGGGGAGAGGACCTCTCATCCTTGAAGAGGGCATGGGACCCCCCCAGGGACTTTCAATGGATCGCATGGAGGCTCCTGAAGTAACAGACTGGCCTGGGCTCTGGGGCTGCCTGGACCCAGGTCAGATCCTCCTGGCTCTCTCTGTGGTCCCTTGACACCTGTTTTTTTCACTTGTAAAAAGGCATCGATTCATCCTTGGTTCATAGGGTTGTGGTCAGGATTGCGTGGGAGAGCGGAGGAGGGCCCGAACCCAGCCTGCCTCAGGGTGGAGCTCAGAATGTGTCCCTATTCTCCCGTCACCGGGAGCGGGGGCAGGGGGCGAGGGAGAGAGATGGCAGCCTGGGGTCCAAGTGCCTGGAACTTTCCTAAACACGTTGCCTGTATTAACGCATTTAACTCCTGTTTAGTCAATAGCAGTTATCAGTAACAAGGAGCAGTTCAATAACCCCAGCAGGAGGGTGCCATTATCAGCTCCGTTTTAGAGACGTCGGCTCTGGGTCCCAGAGTAGCTGAGTGACTTGTTCAGTGTCATACACGTAGTGCAGGCTGAGGAGGTGGCAGAAAGCAGTGGCCCAAGGCCCACCAGGCTCTGAGCCAGACCAGCTGGCTCCTAACCCACTGCCCCCTCCCTCCTTACAGCAGTGATATCACCTCTGGGAGCTCCCGTTTCCTTGTCTTCCTCAGGGATGAAAACAGCCGTTTGGTGGGGAGGTTGGAGGGTGCGGTGAGATGATGTGAGGGAAGCACGCACCTGGGGCCCTGCTGGATGCACCGGCAGAAGAATAACATTCTTTGCAAAGCAAACCCGGGCTTCCGGGGCAGACTGAGCGAGGTCCCTCAGCAGGCTCTGGCCTGCCTGTCTCTCCTGGGGCCCAGCATGAGCCTGGCTCAGAGGATGAAGGATTTCTACACAGCCCCTGGGAGGCCCCAGCGAAGGGGTGGTGCCCAGTCTCTTATGAAGGGCTCCCCAAGAGGAGGCTAACGCTTGCTGCAACTCTTCAATCACCCGCCATCTTTCCCAAGCCCATCGGCCCAAACCCATATATCAAGTGCTTACCACTGACCAATCCAACTCTCTATTCCTGCTTTACAGATAAGAAAACGAAGGCCCCAAAAGTAGAGATGATTTGCCCCTGATCTCACAGGGTTATTGGCTTCGGCCAGACCTAAAATCTAACTAGAACTCTTCCCACGCTTTAGTGGGGAGAATTGATTAAGATGAAAGTGTAGCCGAAACCGGTTTGGCTCAGTGGTAGAGCGTCGGTCTGCAGACCGAAAGGTCCCAGGTTCGATTCCGGTCAGGGGCATGT